GGCGTCAAATAAGACACTTGCGCCTCCTACTACTACTACTACTACTACTACTACTACTGCTACTACTACTACTACTACTACTACTGCCACCCTCCTACTCAGTTCCTTCCTGCTCCTCCTACAAGTTCCAAGTATGGTGCTTGTTGCGGGGCGCACTCACGACCTTCAACTGCCAAGGAACTTGAAGCGTCTCATTGCTCAGTAACGCTTTGTTGAAACCCGGGAAGGCGAGTGAGGCTGCTTCCTCGAAGGTTGCCCCACACTCGGCCTTGCCATGAACATCTGCGAAAAACTTAACCGTCTATCGCTTCTACCCTAGGCCTTGGTGTTAACATGCATACCTGTGTCTTTGACACCAACAAGCACCCCAAAAAATGAATCTCCGAATCGGCCAGATGTGTGGAATTGCAACATGCGTCTCGATGAATGTTGGGAAATGAAGAAGTGGACACAAAGATGACGAAAACGCAGATGAGGATGCTAATGGTGGCGGTGATGCTGGTGAAGACGACAATGATGACAACTGACGACGACGATGTTGGTGAGGATGATGACAGTGACATGAGCACGACGGACATTGGAGTTGATGATGAAAAGAAGAAGCGTCGGGCTCGCGGATGTTGATGATGACTTCCCTCGTGATGACTATGAATGTCGTATCTGCGCCCAAAGCCGCCTGGATTGAGTTGGTCAAGAAGCAATGCGAGAAGAACGGGAAATTGGCGACAAAGAGCTTGACTCCAGCAAGCAGCGCAGAAAGCTTCTCCTGATTTCACTTGTTGGATTGCCGCTGCATTTACGGGTTCGGGTCCAGGCTTAACCTGGGATGTGCCAAAACTCCCTCTAAACCCAAATCATGAGCACCCGGCTTAAACTCAAACCACAACCCATCAATGTACCGTACCGTGAACACAAATCTCGATCCCCACCCTTCCAAAATCAGGCCCAACACACATGCGAAAGAGACTCCCGAAAAGCAGTGGAAAGCAGCCAATGGAAGAATCCTTGCTTTTCAAGCCCCCTCTTTCCCCACCCTCGCGCCTCAGAATCGGCTTCAGTCCGATGGTTTTCAAGCTGGACGAGCATCGGTGCCAATTTGGACCATAAGACATTTCCGCCCTGTCCGAGTGGAGCGCAAATTATGTAATTGACACGGGTCCCCAAAGGCTGGTGCAGAACACTTTCAGGCTCGATGCTTGCAACAAGCCGGTGAGTGCGCCGAGAATGAAACGAGATCAGTTCACAGGATGCAGATGATGACACGAACACCTGCGAAAAAGACTCAGTGTTTGCGATGTTCGATTGCCGATACGCCAGATCCCAACTAAAGCAAAAGGAAGGCCACAAGAATTGGGTCGTACAAAACATCCTTGGATGGATCATGCTACGGATATGTATATGTGCATCGACACATGTGCGTGTATGTGTATGTGTATATACATATATGTATATATTTTTTCAGCCGTAAGTACCGACGTAAGTAATACATAGACCCAAATGAATCCAAAAACATGTACTTGTATACTTATACACTTAAAAACGTAAATACTTCTGTCTAAAAATATAGATATATATATATATATATATGTATGTATACATATACACTTACAGAACTATATGCTTGTAAACATATATGCCTTTATACATTTATGCTTTTTCTCCGAAATAAACGGGAAAAGTATGCATACATCAATATGTGCAAAATCTGCACACATACTTGTCTATATATATATATATATATACGTCAACACATATACATATAAAAACAAGCATATGGACACGGACCTATATATTTGCTACCTCCCCACCCCTCAGTTATCCACCTTTTTCGTGGCTTTCCAGGGCGGCGTGTGGGAGCATGTTCCCAAAACTCAAGGTCATATTCAATGTTTAATGCGAACCCGTGTTTATCTGCTCTGGCATTGTGCTGTGAGTTGTCTTCATCTAGGCCAGGCAGATTATGGTCAACATAATGAAGCAAAGCTACCCCTAAGGCTTATACCACGCTACCTGCAGGATTGCTATTCTCCTGACCAATAAGGTTTAGAGCTGAGGGCTGCATGTAAGCCAAGTTGTCAGGTCAATTTCAGCCTTGCGGTTCATGCTTCGGGGCTAGGATGACCACTCATGATACTCCTGCAGTTCAGCCTCAGGGTTTACATTTCGGGTGCTTTCCCACATCACTGTGGGGTTTTGGTTTTCTTAGAGGCTATCCGCTCCCTCCCTCCCTCCGTGGCAAAGATTTTGGGCTTAGGGTTGGGAGTGTACCGGGACAACACAATGAGGTTTGGTCGCTATTGCGATCAACACAGAGGAATAGCAAACAAGGACAAAGGGATGTCCCTGTGATTCCTGCAAGGGTCAACTGAAGGGTTCGGGGCGTCAGGCTCGCAGACCCTGCACCCCCAAACCCAAACCTTTGATCCTTCCCTAGCCGGGAACCCATACAACACCATACTATACCATGCTATACTATACTATACTCTACTCTACTTTGTATCATATTGGGCCTTGATAACCAAAGTCAGCAACAGCGAGGAGACGCTGGAGAGCCATGAGTCGGTCGGAAGGTTGTACTGCCAGGTCAGGAGCGCGGTGATGCCACCCACGTACCTCAAGCTGCAGAAAAGAGTGCCTTTTCTGAAGCCTTAGGGTTTAAGGTCTACGTAGGATGTAGAATTTGACTTAGGGT